CAAGCATGGTTCGAGTCAAGCATGGTTCGAGTCAAGCATGGTTCGAGTCACATTAAAAATAAAATATTATCTAGCTATGTGACTGTATAATATAATTTTTTTTTGTTTTTAACGTCTGGATAGGTGAAAGGAATATCTAAGTCTTGTACATACAGAACAATAATTTCTAATTTTGATAATCCCTTAAGTGCTGCATATTAAAACAAGAAAGAAAACTTTGAAAGTCACTAAAACCTTGAAAGTAATTAAAACTGAATAGACAAATAGGAACGAAACGTGGAACAATGCGTAATCACGGAAGACACGATCATATGCAAAGTGCAGAGCGATTTCGTGATTTGTTAATGTATTCATACCCACCCTACGCTTTATTAATAATATCTACCCACCCACCTTAGGCAATTTCTAGTGAACAAATATTGTGATTTGTCAACGTTAACATTAGAAAGTGAAACAATGCTGTTAAAAATATAATGTTAAAACAAAACAGTGCTCGTGGAATCAAACCACGGGTATTGCAACTGGCAGTCGATACAACAAGCCGCTCGACCAATTTACTTGGAAGTTGAATGACGAAATTTAGTATTGGTTTTAAAGATGTGTTCCTCATCTTCAAGTAACACTCCACTGTATTGCTTACACGATCAAGTTGAAATTGCTTTAATTTTTTCTTTGTTCAATACGTAAGATGGCTCTCAGAACCAAAACGTCGGTTTGGGCATGTTAGGGGGTCAGGTATCTCATGTATATGAAACTGTGACTGACAGGTTCAAATCGTGTCGGGTTGACGGAGTTTTTCTTTTTGTTCAGTCTTTGTATTAATAATTATTAGAGATTAAACGGGTAGTAATTTTGCTGGATACCGGATATCCTGCGAGCACTTCGACCGGATAGCCGGATATCCGGCCGCTGGATATCTGACCCACTGCCGTAAACATGTCGCGACCGGTTTACAGCGCGCATCGCCGTGATTGATTGATTAGTGAATGATTGCACTTTCACATAGACGATTCGACAATTTATTTGACGTACTCATTATGAATTTTTCTGTTTTAAATATCCGGTATCCAGCCAGATACCGGATAGTAAAAATGGGCCGGATACCGGATGGTTACCGGATATCCGTTTCATCTCTAATAATATATATCTATAATAATAACTAACTAATGGAGTTATTTCGCAAAAAATATATGAATGTCAAAAATGCCAAAATGTAAAAAAATCGTACAATTCAAAAGATTCAATAGTAAATTGATAATAATTTATTAACATCAAACGAGAATTCTAATTGCTTCATTATCTAGAAAGGCTCAAGATTTTCAAAATCTTGCATTTTCATTATCTAGAAAGGCTCAAGATTTTTAAAATCTTGCATATTATTTTATGATTTGTTCAGCAATACACTTTTTCCAACGAGAGACGGTATTTACTTCCTGAAACTTGCAACCGAGCTCTTTTTTTTTTCGTGAAATGTGACTTCAATTGTTTGGAAAAAGAACATCGGAATATCAATTACATTTTACTATTCAGTTTGACATGCAATATATGAATAACTTTAGGAGTGTGAGAAGTGAAAGTTTATTAAAAATGTTATGTTAATCCCCATACTTTTGGTATACTTCAGAAATTATTTGTGACAGAATTTAATAAAAAGGTAAATAAGTTTAAAAAAAATTAAATTTACTTGAGTTTGACGTGCTCTTGACCATGTACTTCTTAGTGTGGTGTGTCCTTTATAAATTTAAAATTAAGATTATGTACAACCCTAATATTTAATTGTTTAATTCCAGGAATATATTACCCGCATAAAAGACCATGTGGTTGGACAGGGTAATGTGGTTCGCGTGGGCCCTCTCCAAAGCGGCGAAGTGTACACTGTGGAGAACAGTAAGACTCACGCAGTGCCCAAGTCGTATGCATTGCCTTTAAAGATTTCTAATGTCTCTAGAGGAGTCAAATACAACATTGTTCCTAAGAATACCTCTGATAAAAAACTTGTTTTGGACTCTCAAGGGAACATTGTAAGCAGCGCCGCGAACTTGCCTGATTTCAAAGCGAGTCCGGTTCTTAGTCGCATCGTTAAAGACAAACTCAATGTCATGCGCATAGAATCAGACCGAATCAAGAGTGCTGTTGAACATGGACCTGTTTATGACAAACTCTTTAAGAGTCTGACTGATTTGAATATGCCGATCTCTGATGATGTTTACTTGCAACCAATCAAACTATTCCGTGAGGAGTACAATAAAAACACACAATTTAAGGAAGAAACCGGCGAATTCGCGAGTAAAGCTCTTGGAGCGCAGATAATTCCAGACTTATGGGCGACAACTAACAATAATATCATGGGAACTGCTAAGTTACTGGAAAGTCGTCTTCAAAAGGGTACAATATTCGCTCCAAACGGTGAGATTTGGAGCTGGAAACATGAGCCTACGACAGCTGAACATAGTGGCACAATCTGCTCTACTAAGATTAATCCCCAGTACTCCACTACCACAAAACCGATTAACCAAGTTGAGCCACAGCAGACGGCGCCTCTGAGGGAGTATCTCAGAGCACATTCTGAAGAAGATCTTCCACCGCCGCCTTTACCTAACTACAGCACCTACCCTGGCGCAATGCTTTCAGGTGTTATACCTAATAATTGGGCCAATAACCCTATTGACAATGAACAATCTAGTGACTTCACTAGTCTATCTGGACCTGGACAGAGTGGTTCTTATGGAGAATCCATTGATCCAATAATTGAACATTTAGCAGATATTGCTTTGAATCCAGCTGAATTAGAATTTAACAGAAAGTTGTACAATGAAGGTGTTCCATGCCAGCGCTGTCAGAAACCTATGTTTGCTGGTGAAGTAGCGGTTAAAGCTGAACGAGCTGGACAAGAATCTATTTGGCACCCACAGTGCTTTACTTGCAGCAAGTGTGGCGAACTGCTGGCTGATCTGGTGTACTTCTTTTACAAAGGCGAAATCTACTGCGCGAGAGACTTGGCCAATGTTTTGGAGATCCCGCGATGCGCTGGTTGTGATGAGTTGATTTTCACGCGGCCGTATACAGCTGCAGAAGGAAGGGCTTTCCACGTACAGCATTTCTGTTGCTACCATTGCGACGCGCCACTTGGGGGCAAGAAATATGTGCCAGATGACAAGACAGGGTTGCCAATATGTTTGGGATGCTATGATCAGTTTTACGCGGAACGCTGTCGAGCTTGCGGTGGGGTTATAGGGCCTGAGCAACAGGGTGTTTCCTGGGGCAATACACACTGGCATGCAGATTGCTTCATTTGTTCAGGTAGGATGTGTGGCAAAAGCTTACTTAGTGGCCGCTTTGTCGTCAAGCAGGAGATGCCATTCTGTAGTGTGCCATGTGTCCAGAGCAGAATCAAGTAAATATTATAATAATTTATAAAGAAAGGAATATTATTATATGCATGACACGTCTTTAAGTTAACAATGATATTACACACTATTGATATTATGCAAAGACAATTTTAGATGTATAATTACAAAAAGAGTATTAAGATTGCCTATTTTTACAAATTTATCCTTTCATGACATGCATTTTTTGATATTGTTGAGTTACTAGTGCCTAAGCAATGAAAAGCATATAATAATTTACAATATTTTTATATTATTATTAATACAAAGATAGAACAGCCAGAAAATATTCCTTCGATCCGGCCGGATACGAACCGACGTCTTCTAGCTTACTGTGCCAGACGCTATACCAACTACGCAACGGAACGAACCAGCGGACCTCAAGAATTTTTCTATGTTTGATAGGTATCATCATGTAAAGGTTTACAGCTACCGAATTTCTCATAGATGGCGCTACGACTAAAAAAGTCGTTGAAAAAAAACCTAATACAAAGACACGACAACAAGCACATATAAAAATTTGTGAGGTTCGCTGGTTCGTTCCGTCGCTTAGTATAGCATCTGGCACGGTATGCTAGAAGACGTCGGTTCGAATCCGGCCGGATCGAAGGAATTTTTTCTGTGTGTTGGATCTTTGTATTAATAATTATAACAAACTAGTGGAGTAATTTCACAAAAAAATAATTGAATGTCAATTCAATAAAAATTTAAAATAATATTTTTATATTGTTTGTAGATTCGTAAGTTGTAAGAGTGAATTTATTTTTGATATTGATCTATATTTGAAAGGGGCCAAAATAATATACAGACCCTTAGTAAATAATTTGAATTATTAATATTTTATATATATATGTATATGAATGTTACAACACTAAATAAATGTAAATCAAAGTTACTACACTTTATCAGAACTAAACCTGCACCTATCAAAGTATTATACATATCAGAGTGTTACAAAATACATCGAAAAATAAAATAAATAGAAACGTAATATTTAAAATATAGATAACTATTATAATTGTACACTTATGCCATAGGGGTAAGAGTAAAAAGTATTCATGTGGTCATTGACCATCAACTAGTTCACATTATCAGGGGCGACGAGGCCGCGATTTTATATAGATATATTACTTCAGGGCTTATAGAGATATAAGTGTAAATTTGAATATGTATATGTCAGTATGTGCCGTACAAATATAAAAATTAGGTTCTTTTATACAATTATGAAGTCATTTCAATTTAAAGTATCTTTTAAGATGTGATATTTATTGACTGGTACAGTACATTCCTTGAAGTGCCATTATTATACTATATAAATAAATAAAAATATTCTTTACACATATACATGTTTTATTATTACCTGGTATTGCAAAATGTGTGTAACTTTCCTGTGGGTATTATATTATGTGTGAGTGGGTATTATAGTCTATTTGGTCTTTTTTTGTATGATTTCAAGTAGTCAATGAAATAGCAAAGACATCTGGCTATTGGTTCACTATAGTCTGTGTTTTTTGAAGATGGAGTAAAATGGGTATTTGTAGGGTTGCCAGTTTTCATAAAATTTGAAATAGTTATGTAGTTGTTGTCTTGTCGATAGATTGTGAAAGAAGATAAAATTGTGCTAAAAATGACTGAATTGCGAGTGTAACGACGACGCCCTAATGATTGCTTATTGCGTTATTGCTTTTTTTATTGTATTAACAGTTTGTTTACTAGTATTGAGAAAAATTTTTATTTGCATACCTTTTAACAGGAACTGGCAAATACGATTATCTATATTGAATTTAAATGAAAAACTTTAAAATATGTCTCCACTTTATGTTTTTCATAAACATAGTTCTAAATACAGTGTGTGTGAACTTACAAAAATTGACAATTCAAATTTCATGTCGTTTTACTAATCCTTCCTTCAAAAAAGACAGACTATATATCTAATAATTAACTAAAAGGTGTACTAGGACAGTGAAAACCAAAAGTTTAGGTTCAATTGATTGAGTTTCAAATTTATATCTGAATATTTAAATGTAGAATATTCATAATTTTTTCTAAGCATTATAAGCTTAAGGGGCATTTTAGTGTGGAATTTACAAAATTTGCGATTCTTGGTAATTTTAAACTGCAATGAAGGGGTCTACTATCGATCTCCATCTGACACCGGACTGTCAAATAAGTTACACTTGACCAAATCAAATGACAATGTCACGTATGATGCTTTGTTCACATCATGCGCCTTTTAATTTAATCAAGTATTACTTATTTGACAGTAATTGTTTCAGATAGAGAAGAAGAGAATGGGAGTTGACCCCCTAGAACAGGCCCACCACCTAAAGTTCACGTAGCTAAAGCTATTACACAATATGCACATGAAAAAGGGGATTACAAAGACACTCAAAAAAACAGTGAATTTTTTTCTATTTTTCGCCCCTAATGTTACACTTTATCTATTTATTATTATTTCACCAGCAAACTATCTAACTGAATACTGGGGATCTAGTATAAAAACAAACAAATTAATAAAATATTCCATTATGTTTATTAGTTAAATAAAAATACAATAAGTTTAGCGTTATGCATTTAAAGATTTAAGAGCTATGCAGTACAAAACACAATTAAGCTTTTAACTTCAATTTGCCAAGATCATTCTTTAGTTTATTGAGGTTCTCTTGTAAAGCTTCTTGTTTGTTTTCTAACGCGGAGATGTGATCATCTGTTCGTTTAATTTCTTTGTTGATGAACTCCATTCGTTTTGTGACGTTTTGTCTCGCTTCTTCCAAGTCCTGCTTCACTAAAACTGGCCCTATGAGCTTAAACACCTCTGCATCTTTCTTCAACAACAACAGCTCCTCTTTTACAGCTTTATTTTCATTCAACTGACTATCTAATTGCTGCTTCTGGGCCACTGCCTTATGATATTCTTTTTGCACACCGTTGAAGGTTTCTAACTCTTTTTGTAGTTTCTTTTGTATTTCTTCGGCCATATTTATTAAAAGAAAGAGTTTGAGTAACTGATTAGTTTTAAAGCCGGTTAATTAAAGATAAAATTAACTTTTTGTTTCGTTCGGTTTTTGGTATCACGTACAGAATTTGAGGTTATTTTTGACATTCACGGTTTGCTTTTTTGGTACTATTTTTTCCACTGCAGCAAAGGCACCAATGCGCCATACAGCCAAGACAGATGAATTTTCTTTCGTTTTTTTATCCAGTTGCGATATTTTTTTTATTGATTTGGCCATAAACTTAAAAAAAATTTAGCAAGTTATAATAATTTGAAAATAGGTGTTTAGACAAAAACTTAGCTAAGCAGTACTGAGTACCTACATAGATATCGTTGTGTCTAGACGTCGGCATCAGCCCGTCACACTACTTGTAACAAGAGTTGTTAAAGAGGGAATCTAGTTCAAAAATGCTTATGGTTATTGATAAAGTTTGACATCAAGGTCCGTAAATACATTGGTTATTTCTTTATATACATAATATGCCATCTCCACGGCTATTAATTTATGCAAATACAGTTTAATAGTAATTATATCGACTCATTTTTTTATATTTTGAATTTCTAAGGAACATCGCTAATCCTAACGTCACAGACGAGACAACTGTGTATTTACGATCACAAAACAATAAATACATTAGAATAGAAGTGCTTAGTTTGCGTAACACGTGTGCCAACAATACGCCAAGTTCCACATACTTATGCTCAGTCCGCCGTTTTCGCTTTGTACGTTGGTTGTGTTAATTGTCTCGCACAAACCTCAGAAATCGTAGAAAAATTCCTTATTTTGCTATTTTGGAATGCAAAAATGATAGTCGCACTTATAATATCATTTATGGTGGTGTTTCATATCAGACTTATTTTATTTAATTTTAGTAAATTTTCAATTTTCTGTTTATCGTAATATTTTTTTGTTACTAGAAACGAAAGTGGTTTACTTTCGGTTCTAGTAACAAAAAAATATTACTATTATGCCGCTGCAACATGGAGAACTAAGAAAAAACATCTCGAATTCGTCGTCGTTGACCAATTGACCGCTAGATGGCAGCACATTAATTGAAATTTCAATATAAAAAATAAAACGTGTCGTACCTTGCAATAGGTATTGAACTTTTATTGATATGCTAACAGAGTAAAGATTAAATTATATTAACAATATCTTATATCTTTTTCAATTAGAAACTACGACCAATCAATATCAAGTTAGTAGTGTCAAGTTAAGGCACTTCCATTGTTTTTTCTTCCGTGTTTATGATCCCTGAGCACTTGAATCTATTTTACTTTTTTTATAAATTTTGTTAAGGTTTATAACAATTTGCATGTTTACTTTGCATCAGTTGGCTCTGTCATATTGCTAAATGTGTAATGTGAAAATTAGCACAGTTAGTATTACTGATGCAATTCATTTGTGCTCTTTGAGAAGATTATGGCTACACTTTGGAAAAATAATATCTAAACATTTAATTGTACAGTTTTTCAATACTTTAAGATGGAATTCAAGATCAAAAATGTAAACAAACAATTGTCAGAGTCAAAGTGATATTTCATAAATAATAACTGATATTAAATATTTTTCAGGTTCATTTATTATTAAGTTCAACAATATTATGAGTAATAATTACGTTACGTTACGTGGCGTTTTACGTCATGTAAGGCATCAACCATTTAGACAAAAATTGCGGCGGATTCTGCTGTTAGGTTGAGTGCTAGCTACAAGGTGTTCTGTGAATTAGTGAGTTTTCTGGTTAATTTCTTTATTTCATATCATCTGTTGACTTGTTTTATGTGTATATTTAAGTAGTTTATGAGTGTTGTTAATTGTATTGGTAAGTAAAAGCTTTTTAACTGTGTTGTAAATGTCGGATCCTCTCGATCCGAGGGGAGGCGATGCTGAGACACGTGTTCAGTCATCTCCTCGCCTGTTTCCGCAACCCCAGACTGAGGTAATGGAAATAGATAAGATCATGAAATCCAAATCAAATCAAATCATTCAAAGTAGGAAACGAGCTCCCACAAACGTGCAATCATCCCAACCTCCCAAAAAACCAATACCTCACAGTCTGTTCCACAAACATATATCTTGTATATAATATGTATATTTCTTGTCTCGTAATAGACGCCGCAAGTACAGCAATTTGTATGAAAACCAAGTGTGCCACATTTAATGACGGCCTCGTGTGAAATTTTTGTGATTTGTTTATTATTTCTCGGATTTCTAACTCTGCTACTCTGCATATTTGGATAGCATCTTAAGTGGGATAAACTAGACCACTTTCGTCCTCGAAAGCAACGAACTCATACGCATGACCAACTCCAGGTTTTTGTAAAGACAACGCACTGCTAATTCTTTGCATTATATATTTTTTTGTATTACTCTTACTACATATCCGGCGATGTATGTAATTATTTGCTCACTATATTCGGACATTCGAAGCAACGTGTTGCAAAAATTATCGAAATTACAGATACTACTGCTAATGGATACTACAAAACTAAAAAAAAACGAAACTAAACAAAACAAAAGAGTTATACATACATTCATACATATCATCACGCCTGTCTCCTACCGGGGTAGGCAGAGACTATGGACCTCCACTTGCTACGCTCCTGACAAGCCTCTTTCGCCTCCTCTACTCCCATCAATCTCTTCATATATGCCCGTTTATTCTAGGTACTTTTAACTAGGGCTTTTTTAAGGACATCCTCAATCTGATTGAGATATGTTCGCCGAGGTCTACCTCTCCCCACGCTTCTATCCACATTTGCTCTATAAATTTGTGCCGTCAATCGACCAACATTCATTCTTTCTACATGACCAAACCATTGAAGCATCCCTCTCTCTATCCTTGTCACTACATCATCTTTCATACCACAACGCTCTCTTACCTCACTGTTTGGCATTCTCTCTTTAAGACTAATATCACACATATTGCGCAAAGCTCTCATTTCTACAGCATTCGTCCTACTTTCATGTTTTTTCTGCCACACCCAACACTCATTACCATATATTAGGGTTGGGACCAGCACGCCCCGATGAACAGCCAAATGTGCCTGTTTTGAGACATTCGATTCACTCGATTTTTGGCTTGCACTCTTGTCTCAATCTCGTCCCTTTCACACTTACCACCTCATGTCAACACTACCCAGATACACAAGTGTTATAGAATATTTTTATAACATTGCTAAGGTCATAATAATTTTCGTCCCTTTGTTTTCAAAATCGATCAGAATCGAGAACTGTGTTGCCTAACGTATATATCACTAAATGTTAAATTTGGCCCAAGAAATGTACGTACAAGAGGCCGTACCACGAAACAGAATGCATTATATCCATGGCACCCGCGACACAGGGTTTCCCTAGTGCGGGGCTATGTTGAGTGTGTGCGTTATTTATTTAAAAAAAAAATTCTCTTCTCTCGACCATCATTAATCTCTTAAGGCGTTTTAGTGACGTCCCCCTACCGAACAACCTCAAAGATCAATTGTCTCAGCTCATTCACCTCTCCTGCTCCAATGGATCCCATTCTCCAGTGGAACTGTCGCAGCAGCAGGAATAAAGAAAATGAAATTCAATTCCTACTCAATAAATACTCTCCTGACGTTTTTGCAGTCCAGGAGATGCGACGAGAGATGAGATGCGACGTCAACCAGGCGATCGAGTACGGTTTCCAGGCTTTTCGTGTCTTCGCGATGACAGGACGGAGTGCAAGGAGGCTTGGCACTCCTAGTGTCAAGAGCCGTAACTATTTCGCAGATTTCCCTTCCCCCTCATAGCGAACAAATTAATGCAGTTGCTGTCAAATTGCTAAAGATAACGTTTCTGTCGGTTTACATTCCTCACCCCAACCTTACATGCCTTGCAGAGTTTTTGGATATTGTCTTCTCAACATGCTTCGGTCACTGTCTGGAACATGGTGGGGTGCTCACCCCTGATCTCAGACGCTTTTGTAGAATGCTCTGATTCGAGCTCATCAGATTGTTCCTTTTTATTTGAACCATGCCATAAATCCTCTTTAAAAGACCTAGACAAAGTACAATATAAACATCTTCGAATTATAACAGGGGCTATGAAATCTTCTCCCACCAATGCATTACAGGTGGAATGCGTGGTCCCCCTTATTTATCAGGAGACAATATTTAGCGGATAGATTTCCTTTTAAAATTATTCAAAATTCATCCCATCCTCTTATAGGTAAATTACATAAATTATCAGAATTTAAATTTCGAGTTCTTAAGTTTTCGCGATTGTTACACATAGGAAATGAAACTATTTTTCCGGATTTAAATCGCGTATATTTGTTTTTTCAAACAAACCGACGTTTCGGGCCGTTTACAGGTCCCATGGTCACGGTTGAACGTATCGCGTATATTTATTTGTTCAACCGTGACCATGGGACCTATAAAGGACCCGAAACGCGTCGGTTTGTTTGAAAAAACAAAAATACGCGATTTAAATCCGGAAAAAAAAATTATATTCTCTACTGACTGGAGACATAAAACTACACCCTGTCTGTTTTTTGCTTTTATTAAATTCATCAGGCTCCCCTGTCCAGTATATCAGTGTACCCTAAACCCTCTCTTCGATATACTCTATCTCGCTCTTATCTATCAACCTGGCATATTACTGAATTTAGGCATTGACAAAAATTCCACTAACTCTGAAGCTCAATTATATACATCAATAATAATCGGAGCGATTGGCTTGTGACGTACACCGATACTTCCAAAATGTCCGATGAAGGATATGTTGGTGCTGCTGTCTGGATACCCAAATTTAAAATTATCCTTCATTTTAAATGTACTCCCCTTTCTTCTGTTTTTACTGGGGAAGCCACTGCTATCCTAGCTCTTCTCTATATTGAGTCTCATAAGCTAGACAAAACTGTCGTATTAACAGACTCGACAAGTTGTCTCTAGGCATTCTGTCCAATCCTTTCCGTAACAGATCCAACTTTCCCTGTGTCTTAAAAATTAGAAATGTGCTGTAAAGTTGCTTCAGTCAAGGAATTAGAGTCTCTTTGGCCTGGATCCAAG